GTACGCTCAAATAATTTTGAGTCTCATTGTTTTAGTCGGACTAAATATGCTTAATTTCTGTAATTTATAATATAAGATACATTTTTTTTAAATGTTATAATTTCTTGTTGTATCTTGTTATTTCTCTATAAGTGACATGAGTTTGACCTTGGTGGCAGTTATGATTTCTGACATTGTTCTGTATGTATTAAAAATTGACTGGCATTGCTTAATTTATTTATGGTTCTAGACATTTTATTTTACAAAGCTGACATTTTGTATTATTATGACTTGTAATAATTTTATTGTAATTTATATTTATTTGATTTTCATTGTGTTATTTGATTGCATGACAATGACAAAATATTTACTTATAGATAGATTGATTAAGCATGAATCCGCATTTACAAATGTAGGAACTTTATCTGATTTTACGTCCTGACCTAAATATATAAATGGATAATTTATTATGCAATAATAATAGTAAAACTGACTCTGGGAATGCCTACCAATGAGACATTTAGTCCGTCCTTAATCCCTTTTATAAAGGTGTTATAAACAATAATATAGATAATAAAGATGTTTTTGATAAGAGATAGGTATTACCTATCTAAGTATAGTTAAGGAGTTGTACCTTATTATTTATACCACTAAAATATATTATATACAAGGCATATAGTCTAGTCAGGTCATAAGTATTGTCACACAGTAAAAACTTTTCTTTTAGAATGCTGGCCACAAAAAAGTTTATTGAATTCGAATTGTTCATGAAAATAAAACTGTATACTTTTTAGAATTTTACTCATTTTTAAATATGGTGTGGACGCTTAAAGAAGACCGTGTTGCAGTTATTGCGTTGAATCGTTGCTGTTACGCGCCAATTCAAATTTTTGACATACTGAAAAATTTGAATATAACCAAAAGATTCGTTTATCGTACCATCAAACGATACAATGAAGACTCTAGTGTAGATGACAGGTCAAGAAGTGGTCGCCCTCGATCTGTTAGGACTCCAGCAGTGATAAAAGCTGTGAAGGCGCGAATTCAAAGAAATCCCAAACGTAAGCAGAAACTGTTGGCCCTTCAGATGGGATTAAGCAGAACCACGGTGAAAAGGGTGTTAAATGAAGACTTAGGGCTTCGGGCATATCGAAGAAAAACAGGACATCGTTTGAATGCTCGTCTAATGGACCTAAGACTGAAGAGATGCCGCGCTTTGTTGAAGCGGTACGCGGGAAAAAAATATCGGGAAATTCTTTTTTCGGATGAAAAAATTTTTACCGTAGAAGAGAGCTACAACAAACAAAATGATAAGGTGTACGCACACAGTAGTGAAGAAGCGAGCAACCGTATTTCGCATGTCCAACGAGGTCATTTTCCATCCTCGCTCATGGTATGGTTGGGAGTTTCTTATTGGGGCTTAACAGAGGTACATTTTTGTGAGAAAGGTGTAAAAACGAATGCAGTTGTGTATCAAAATACAGTCCTGACGAACCTTGTGGAATCTGTTTCTCATACCATGTTCAATAACGGGCACTGGGTATTCCAACAAGATTCGGCGCCATCTCATAGAGCGAAGGGCACACAATACTGGCTGGCGGCGCGTGAAATCGACTTCATCCGGCACGAAGATTGGCCCTCCTCCAGTCCAGATTTGGATCCGTTAGATTACAAGATATGGCAACACTTTGAGGAAAAGACGTGCTCAAAGCCTCATCCCAATTTGGAGTCACTCAAGACATCCTTGATTAAGGCAGCCGCCGATTTTGACATGGACCTCGTTCGTGCTGCGATAGACGACTGGCCGCGCAGATTGAAAGCCTGTATTCAAAATCACGGAGGTCTTTTTGAATAAACTTTAGTGTCATTAGAATCTATGTTTTGTTAAGTTCATTTTGGTATATAAATGGTTACATAATGAATAAACTTGTTTCAATTATTGTATATTAAACATGTGACAGAATTTATGACCTGACTAGGTATATACTCCCTTCTAATCCGATTTTAACAACCAGCACCCAAAGAATTTCCGCGATGCAAAAGTATAAATCAAGTTTATTAATATGTAGCCGGTGGAAGGAAAAGGGGATATCTCCCACCGGGCAAGGTGTTCTGCCCGGAGAGCGGCCAACGCTCCGAGTGGTAGTTCGGAACTATTCTATATATACTGCTTTAACTTCGGAACTTTGTTAGCGCGATTGAGGCGTCGATGTGTTTTTCGCTTGTCGCGCGACAACGGCGCCGCCACTTCACACCCCTGCTCAGACCGGAGGTCGATAGTGCAGTCTGATTGCCGGTGCGTCCTTCCGGCAAGTGACGCCGGTGTGTAATGCGTGCCGTACTACGCACTTGCAAGTGATGCCGGTGAGAACGATGATCCGGAGCAAGTGCCAGGGATTGCCTTGTAGTCTGCGGTGAGTCGAGAAGAAGGCACGTAATCTGCGAGAGTGCCGTGAAGCAGAGGCGAGCAGTAAGGCTCAGAGCCGTGCCGAACACTGTAGTGCAGAAAGTAGCTTGAAGAAACAGGAAGCATTATTATTCCAGTGATGCGATGAACCTTTATAAAGCTAGATGGCTTGCAGAATGTGAAGACTGCAGACAATATCTGCTCGGGAGCGAATGAATGGGGTACTTGAGGATGATGACGAAGGTTTGAAGTTGTAGTTTCTGAAGGTTGTTGTTTTCGTGTTCGTATCACGTCGGGGTCACCACTGTGGCCGGTGGAAGGAAAATTGTAATAATGCTTTAACTTCGGAACTTTGTTAGCGTGATTTACGCTTCGACACCACTTCATATTTTTGAGAAATTCTAATTCAATTAAATCATTTCGACACGGCTTCATATTTTTGAGAAACCAAGAATTACAATGAATGCTCTAGAAAGAAGACAAAAATTTTGTTAATTTTGTTGTTTAGTGGTGTGATGAAAAATTAATAAATAATCGTTTGTTTATTTTAATTTTATTGAATTATATTTAATATATAATTGTGTTTTCATTTGTTTTACTTAATGTAACATTGTTAATATTTCTAAGTGTTGTGTAAATACACAAAATTTAGCTCTTTTTCCTTTTTCAATTTTAATATATTTTCATTTAAATAGAATATATATCTTCACAGTCTATCAAAAGTCCACTGCTGAACATAAACATGAATATAGTTATTTGCAATAGTTGCAACGCTTGGTAAGCGGGCTACCAATGGTTTTTTTTTTATTTAGCTGTTATCAGGAAAATGCTGCTGTTTATCTTCTTTGTTGTTTCCCTATGTCGCCTCATACACCACCCATGGTATGATATGAGGTAGCAGATAATTTTACACTGCATATTAAATTAAAATAGAATATTATAAAACATTCGTTTTTATTTTATATACCAACATATTACAAAAACAAACCATTTGTTGATGCTTTACAACGTATATTAACTAAAACGTTTTACGACCTTAACATTAGGTAACACGATTAAGTCACCTAACCATAACTAAGTCACCTAAAAAGGCCTTCCCTATATATCCTCATAGGATGACTTTTGCCATAGTTGCGACGCCTGCATGAAAATATGCGTTATGCTGGTTGGCCAGCGCAGTTTTTTATTATCTTAAGTTTTCATAAGGAAAGTGCTGCTGCCCCATCCCCATCTTGTATTATTTGCTTACGACGTGGGGTAGTATCAGCCCGTGTATAGACAAATTCCCTTGTACCCCACAACTTGCCGCACACAAGCCACTAACTTAGTAAGACATGCAGGAAATCGCGGGAGTTGGCTCAGAACCGAGTTTTGTACTACAAAACCTAAGTGGAAACCTTTTCCTTTCGGAGATCTGTGTTCAGCACTGAACTTGTGATGGACTGGTATGTTAAAACATTATTAATTTTTTTTTTTGTAAAATCAACATAAAACTCGACACGAGGAATTTTTTGATTATTAATTAATATTTTTATTCTTAATTAATATTTAAGTACATACTTAACATATTGCTACTTATTAGCGATATCACACTTTGTGCTAGTAGCGTCTTCACATAGTGCCGTCGAAATCCAAAGAGTTTAATGAATGTCCAGTAAAATCGTCGATGCACCGTTGAATACGGAATGATGATTCTGTTTTTACGACGTTTCCGCCTGTAGTTTTTAGTCACAATGTATTTTCAAGAGAAATGAATTAATCATCTGAATTATAAAAGAACATTTTTTATGGTAACAAATAAGTTTTTTGTATGAATTTAAGTGCTGTGAACATAAATAAACCCATAACGGGGGAAATGAAACAACAACCTATTTCTATCTCAAAAGCATACGCGAATGCTTTATCTATTTGTCATGCGTTTTCGGGCTGTCAGGTCATAGCGTTATAGTACTTCTTATTAGTTTGTGGTCTATGGTATATTCCCTAATAATATTTGTTACGCACATAGATAACTAAATATGTAGCAAGCTGATGATTATATACCATAAACTTAGGCCGGCCATCTACATACGGAATTCCGTTTCAATATTCCGATTCGAGCACAGATTACCCCCTTAGGGGGTAATCTATGGACTCGAGATTCCGAACGCAGCAAATTCATATAAAATATATGACCCGTCACACACGTACGGTAGTTTTCCGTTCGAAATTTTGCGGGCAAAACGGGATTCCGTATGTGTGTGGCCGCCGCGTTTGGGATTCCGAAACGGAATCTCGAAACGGAATTCCGTATGTATGTGGCCGGCCTTATAAGAAGTGCTAGCGCTATAGTCTTTGTAAGTCTATGATCTTAATCCTGTACCATAGCCAATAATAAAATATGGAAATTGTCTATGCTTTATAAAAAATAAAGAAAAGAGAATTCAAGGTGGAAGGAAACGGACGGTTTTGTGTTGTAGAATATTCTGCGACGAGGTTAATGAATCAGCAACGTCTTAAGTGATAATATAAAACATGTCCGATTAGTTTATTGAAAATTTATTTTAAGTTGATTATTTGTTTAATTGTGTATTACGTCTAATCGTTAGTTCATCATACTTGCGACCACAATAAAATGGCGACTGACCCAATGAAAAACCGCATGCATGTCTTCAAGAATACTGGTAAAGATGTCGATGTAAGTAAAATCATTTTTCAATTTATAATCTTTTAATGTGATTAGTGACTTTTGTAAAACTTTGAATTAAGCGACTTGATTTGTATATTTATAGGAGATGCGAAGGCGAAGGAATGAAGTGACAGTAGAATTACGAAAAAATAAACGAGAGGAAACGCTGCAAAAGCGCCGCAATGTTCCTATTAGTGATTCTACTGACGAAGATGAAGTTGAACGGACCACGAACCTTCACGAGCTAGTGATCAATGCGGCCAAAGCAGACAATCCTGAAATCCAACTAGCTGCCGTGCAACAATGTCGAAAGCTATTGTCCTCAGACAAAAACCCTCCGATTGACGAGCTGATCGCAGCTGGCATCCTTCCCATCTTAGTCCAGTGTCTTTCGAGAGCTGACAACCCAACTCTTCAGTTTGAGGCAGCTTGGGCCTTGACGAATATTGCATCGGGAACTTCGGCACAGACCAACAAAGTAGTTCATGCGGGCGCTGTTCCTCTATTCCTACAATTACTTATGTCTCCACATGAGAATGTATGTGAGCAGGCTGTATGGGCTTTAGGTAACATTATTGGAGATGGTCCAATGCTTAGGGATTTAGTGGTAGAGCTTGGGGTGGTTAAGCCATTACTGAGCTTTATCAAACCAAACATCCCCATTACATTCTTGCGTAACGTAACATGGGTAATAGTGAACCTTTGTAGGAGTAAGGATCCACCACCACCAGTTAAGACAATCCAGGAAATTCTTCCGGCTCTCAATGTACTTATCACACATTCAGACATGAATGTAAGTAACTATTATTTCATATTTAGAATTTTTAATACAACAGTAGATATATTATCATGTTTTAAAAACAATAGATATAATAATCATGGTAGTGATTTTTTTTGTAGAAAAAAAGTTTAATAAAAAGTACATTTAAGTTTAAGTGTGTTATTTGCCAAACAAACAATAACAATTTTTATGAGAAATCTGTTGATTGTGATATTTTTTTTAAAAACCAAATATATTTTTATTATCAACTATGTTAAGGTATCAATTATTAACACTATTTGATTTCTGCATTGCAGTCTCGCTTGGCAAGATACCACTCATATTTTCCTGTTGCTAGGAACTAGTGCAACTACTGTTTGTTTTTTTTATTTATATCAACAAACTACAATATAATTTCTTCTTTTTTACTTAAACTAAATATAAAGCACCATGTTAAAAATGTGTTCAAGTATATTTCTTACACTTTTTGTGGAGAAAGTTGTTTTAATATTGTTTACAAACAGTGTAGCACAATTATGTTGTTATGAGAGATTGTTATTGTATTCAATTTTTCACCTATACCTTTGTGTAATTTCAATGTTTGATGGTAAATGGGGACCCTACCTTTTGTGTTTTTAATTAACATGGTCTACGAACTGGTTTCTCACTATATCCATAAAATAACATCATAGAGAGAGAGTGAGTGCATAAATATACCAATTCGTCATACGATAATAATCTCATGTTTTAAAAGCTGAGTTATCTTCCGATTACTCAAATTTAACTAACGTTAAGTTTAAACTCAAACTCTGGAATGTTAAAATTAGACTACATTATCCTATGTATCCAAAGTTTTTAACTCAAGATTGTATCTGAATGTCTTGGTTCTCTCAAACTCAAGATTTTTTTTTTCAATGTGGTATCAAAGAGATATTTATTTATTATTTCTGCTTTTGCAGATCTTAGTGGACACAGTGTGGGCAATCAGCTATTTAACTGATGGAGGCAATGAGCAAATCCAAATGGTGATTGAGTCTGGCATTGTTCCCAAGTTGATCCCACTACTATCCCACAAAGAGATGAAAGCCCAGACAGCGGCATTAAGAGCTGTTGGTAACATTGTGACTGGTACAGATGAACAAACACAGGTTGTGCTCAACTGTGATGCTTTATCACACTTCCCTGCGTTATTGTCCCATTCGGTAAGTTAGGTTTTTTACAAACCTTATAAGAATCTAGAACGAACTTCGATACTGTTTAATTTTAAATGGATATTGAAATGGTTATATATCATTATTTACAAAGCAAGGAAAGATTCAATGTGATTATTAGTCAGTTAGTAATCTCACGTAATTATAAATGTTTTATCTAGATCAACTAATGTGCAATGTGTATCTTTCCTTCTTACCTAAATTAAATCTAGCTTAAATAAGAATTTGATGTTGCTGTGTTTTGTATAGTGTGTAGAAAACCAGAGACCTCTTTATTGGTAACGAGGTATTCTATATTACTCTTTATGGAAGACAATGGATCCATATTTTGATTGATAAAAAATACCTCATTGTGGGAATAACCAACTTAAAACCCAGTAAGATGTTATTTTAAAACAAGTGGTAAAATAAAAAATTTTGTACAACCAATTTCAATATAAATAAAATAGAAAATCATCAATATAGTTGAAGGCAATTAAATACGCATTATAAAGGATAACTCAAAAACTACTGGTCAGATCTTGATCAAATTTATATGGGACCACATGAGAAGCACCAGCTTTCAAATAAAAAAAAACAACAAAAAGTTATGAGGTAACACACATAAAAAAGAAAAAAACATACAGTCAAATTGAGTACACGCTTCTTTTTGAGGTCAGTAGAAAAATACAGTCAAATTAAGAAACTCCTCCTTTTTTTAAAGTCTGTTGAAAATGTAAAAGCTTTTAATAATATTGTACAAACATTTGTATTATTAAAGAAACAGTTATGTAGCCATCACCATTGAAACTGGAAAAAAGTGTTTACAAATGCAATATTTTGTAAACTCTAGCTGGAATAATAAATAATAAATTTATAACTTTTTAACTATACCTATCACTATTAATATCATTACAGTCCAGTAAAAACTCCACTGTTACTCCCCCATAGATTCATCAAACAATTCCACAGTTTGATCAAAAACTTTAATTAAACTATGGCTGTATTGTATTAAGGTATAACAATAAAGCCCTATATTCTGAACTATAAGGTTAAAAGGTGCATATTAAGTTTGTTTTGGTTTAATTTTTAAATATCTCATAATTCAGTGTTCCTCTTGTCATGTACTGATATATTACATCATGATAATTCATAATCATGGTGTGTCCATTACATTAGTGTTAGTTATAATGTTTATAATTAATAATGTTGTAATTTTTTATTTTTTAAACAGAAAGAAAAAATATGCAAAGAGGCTGTGTGGTTCTTGTCGAATGTGACAGCGGGTAACAAACAGCAAGTACAAGCGGTAATTGATGCTGGTTTACTGCCGAAGATTGTAGAGAACCTTAGCAAAGGAGAGTTTCAGACTCAAAAAGAGGCCGCCTGGGCCGTTTCCAACTTGAGTATTAGTGGTACAAAGGAGCAAGTGGCCGCTCTCATTAACTGTGGCGTCATACCTCCTTTCTGCAACTTGCTGAGCTGCAAGGATACGCAAGTTATCAGTGTAAGTGTATTTGTTTATTTTACAAGCATTTTAACTCCTTGCTTCATTATAAGGGTGTTTTCTATGCACATGCACAAAAAGAAATTTGTGGCAGAAAACCAGAAAGTTTTCTATGCATTTTTAGACCTTGTCTATTATAGGTTCAAGGCAAATGCTTGTGCATTTTTCAACTTGGTAAAGGAGTAGAGTGAACAGGGTTACTTTATGGCAAATGCTAGCCACTTTTAAAATCTCTTTACTTTTGTATCAGGATCGACAGGGCTTACATGGACTGGTTTAGCATGCATTAAGGTTGGAAAGGGTGGTGTAGCTTCCCCATGGCTGTTAATTGTGTTTATGGACAGTAGTTTGAAAACTTTGTTTGTGTTTTGGTCACTGCCTTAGTCACTGCCTCACTGCCTATCTCTCTAGGTGACAGAATTGATGTATAAACATGATTTTGTATGTATAAACAATCTTTAAGCAAGGCATATTAACTACACTTTAGGTTAGCATTATTTACAAATTATATTAGATAAATGTGCAACACATGGAATAATATGCACCGGTACATAATTTGTTATGGAAGAGATTAATATTTTGTGCATCAATTTTCATTGAGAAAGTTGCTTAAAACTGGTTAGAAAATTACATAAAATGCAACTAATTTAAAAATAACAGTCATAATGTGTATGATATTATAAACTTGACCTTGTTTCATGCTCCTTACAAATAAGTATATACTGTTTTAATTTACTGCAAGTCACCTTTGCTGCGTTTTTGCGTAGTAATGCGATGCAACTGATAATTAGTCACACTTGTAACAAGACCCAGAAAAAAAAGCAAATTATTATTGTTACTAGTAAAACAAGTCTACCTTTGAAGAATAATCTTTAAATACACTAAAGTAAAACTAACCTAACAAACAAAATCCAACAAGAGTTTATTAATATTACCATAATATATTGTATATTATATCTGTATTCAATAAAGAATTATTATCATTATTATTATAATTAACAGTAGATTTCAGTAGTGCCACCTGTATGCCAACCACAGTGTAGTGGCAGTATAAGAATATTCACTACCCCATGTTATCCTGTGGCTGTTATAAGAGGTGACAGAGGGTAGATAAGCAGTAGTGTCTCCCTAACAACAACAAAAAATAACCCTAAAAACACAACAGTCGCTCAGTTGGCAAAAACTTTAAGAATTGAATTTCACACAGAGGAGCGCGCGTACGCGTAGTTGTTGCTCATAAATCAGATTCAATTTGGGATAATCTATACATCTATACAAATAAATAAAATTGAAGTGTCTGTTTGTAATTTCAAAATTACAGCTTTTTACTAAATGCATATGAATGTATATACGGTACTAATAACAAAAATACAATTTTTAAAGTTTTTGTCTGTCTGTTTGTTGCGGCTAAACTCCGAGAAACGGCTGGACCGATTTTGACGGGATTTTCATTGGCAGATAGTTGATGTCACAAGAAGTAACTTAGGCTAATTTTATTTTAGAAAAGGAATTAGGGTTCCCTGCAAAAATATTAAAACCCCAAATAACACGGGCGAAGTCGCGGGGAACAGCAAGTTTCAAATAAAAGTAAAAGCTTCATTTACTCGTATTTTCAAAAACTGCAATTATATAGTTTGAACCACTAAAAAATTAATATTTTATTTATTTTTTAGTGGTTCAAACTATAGTTTTTTTATAGGATAAGGGTGACAAACGAGCACACAGTCCACCTGATGGTAAGTGGTTGCTGCTGCCCATAGACATCTACATCTATCCTCTATTACAAATCAAAATGCAGATGCGTTGTCACCCGTGAGGACTAAGATGGAATGCCTCATTTCCAGTAAAAAGTGCCTCTGGCCACCTGCACTCACCAAGGGAAATGCAGAGGTAAACCTCTACTTTACGCTGGTATTCGGTGAGGTTGTGGTACCACCCCGGTTCGAGCCGGCCCATCCGTGCGATAGCAAAAGCCGCCACGTGGCTCTACCACTGTTAGAAAGCTATATAATCTAATATATATTTGATCTTAATTATAAAATTTGGCTACTCTTCATAAAATAACACTGCATATGAGACAATCTTTAGGAGTGGGGGCCTAATGAGGGCTAATAATTTTCTGCTCACCAGATGTCGCTAGTTAACATTGAGGTAAAGTTTTTTTGTTACACAATGTCATTTAATTGAGCAGTTAGTTTTTAATAAAAGATTATCAGTTTCAATACAGAAAACAATGCCTCAGTGGTTTGCTATTTAATTTTTTTTGCATATCTGTGGTTTGGTTTATATATTTTTAATTATTAATATAAAATGTAGCTAATACCACAGAAAGAAACATTTACCTTTACATTTTCCAAACAAATTAACTTCCCCGCTATGTTATCTGTCAAATATTATTACCTCACTTTTAAGTGGCGCCTCCCTGGTGGCCCTCATTGTAACAGTGGACTTTTAATAGGCTGTAACAGTAATATTATTGCAGTAGTGCATTGACTAACTGCAGATTGCAGATTTAGTCCCCATGGATCATTGCTTTTCGTTTATGATGTAACATAAAAACATACATAAACTCTCAGGCTGGTCACGTAGAATCGTAGACGGAGTCTATATACTTCCATTTGGCACAATCTTGACGCACCTGCCTCCCTTCTTTTACATCCATATATGTATCTACACATACATGTTGGTTGGTTAAGAATAGTCCTGATTTGGCCCATCTTTAATATATCACAATTTGGTTGCTTAATTTCGATATAGGGCATCCCTTGCTAACTCTAGCACTCACTTCTGCATCATAAATTTGCTTTTTTATTCTTTCTATGTGTTGTTTTTCAACACTTAGTGATACATATATCATAGAAACATATTTTTAGTGCTTTAAATTATATTTTTATTTGGGTGGATATTCCTCCATCTGTATAATGATTTATCCTGAGAATCTCTGTCAACAGTCAATAGGGTGAACTGCATGTAAGCGAAATTGATATTTGCAAAAACACTACATATTTTCCTCTTACCCCTTACCTTCCACAAAGGTATTATATTTGCATTAAAATAACATAAAACTTTTTATTGGCCAGAGCAAGTTTTTGTCCTTTAAATATTTGCAGAAGTTACTATAATTAAAGGTCATTATCACCTGCCACTGCAAATCCATTATCCACATTATGCTAATCCTCGATCGTCACGGCCTAATGGCTGAGACGGCCAAGTGTGTTATGCATTCTTACTATACTAAATAGACTGCCTTGTTTGTCTAGTTGTCGTAAACGCGATTGCTGATCATGAAGTCCCAGATTCGAATTCCGGGTAGGGTGAAAATCAGTTATTGTGTTTTTCTCATGAGAAATTCTCAATAGCCAGCCTGGAGTCTGGAAGTTGACAGTGTTTCATCCCCGTGTCTCGGAAAGCACGTAAAACGGTTTGTCCATTGCCGTATACACTTGGGTACTATAATATATTATATAATCCTGTCCTGCTGAGAAAGGCTAGCCTCCATTGAGACTGGCCGCCGTGACCGTATTTTGTCCTGGAGGATATTATTATTATATATCATATAAGGACATTATATTATTTATATTCCACAAAAAAAAACTGTAAGTTAATACAGCCTAGATCACCCCTGGCATTGCTCTCTATCTGTTCATGAAGTTTATCACAATCTGTTCTGGCATTCCTAAGGTTAGCCCGGACAAACAGACAGACAAAAATTTTGAAAGTGGTTTGGAAATTCATGTCTTAATGACATGGCAATAACCTCCCAAGTTCAATAAAGGTCAGTTATTTCAATATAACAGAGTGTTATATTGAAGAGAGGTTATGTGCGTAGATAAAATTAAATTTTTATCTGTAGATAAAAATTATCTTATAGCCTATTCTTGAGTAGTCATTTTAGTGAAATTCATAAACAAATACAGATAACCTTACATGTTAAGTTCATTGACCTGAACTGGAGCAATATGTGTCAGGTCTATTATTCCTCATAAAATGAGAATTTTAATTGAAATTACATTGTTGTTTTCTTAATACACTGCTGGGTTCCCTTTTCAAGTAAACATCAAGAGGATGTAGATGTCTATGGGTCACAGCAGCCACTTACCATCAGGTGAACTGTGCGCTAGTTTGTGTCACCCTATCCTAATGCAAAGCTTCAAACTAACATGTTGCAGCCAGCCATATTTTCTACAATCGTGAAAACAATGAGTTGATTGCTTTCTTTTTTTATTTGATCATAGTTTTCTATTAGCATTAGCAATTGTTGAAACCAAACTTGACTAAGTATACAGATCTTTAATTGCATTTGTTGCTAATCAAACTACTCATTGCAGGTGGTCCTTGATGGACTGAGCAATATGCTAAAGATGGCGGGTGAGAATGTGGAACAAGTAGCCAACATGATAGAGGAGTGTGGTGGCATTGATAAGATTGAAGAGCTGCAAGGCCACGAGAAGATGGAGATCTACAAGATGGCCTATGATATTGTAGAGCAATACTTTGCTGGAGAGGTAACTATAAATTTCACACTTTTGTACCTAATATCCTATAAAAAAGATAAGGTCACTAGAAGATATGGCTCGATTTGTACCTAGTTGGTAACACTTCTTTACCCATACTGGTGTCAAAAAGCAAAGCACTAGTAATTATAGAAGAAAATAAAAAAAATTGAAGAGCCCACGTATTTATAGAGGCCACCATTCTATTTTAGCTCTCAGGGGTGATATGCATCTGAAATATTTGTTTAAAAGTTTCCTTTTGGTGTCCATGGGCTACAGTAGACACTTACTATCACCACAGCTTAAAGAACTAACAGTTGTGAAACGCCTTTGATGTCAAGCGATGCCGTCATCCGCTTAGGTTTTTACTATTTACGCCGTCGTCTCAAATATGCTAGGAGTTGTCTTAAATTGGGAATTAAATAATTTTGGATGTTATAGATATACTCATTATCATTTATTAATATTATCATAAAACATTTATCGAACAATATCATTTTTTATTACTGAAAGAAAAAATACATTGCATGCGACACTTGTAGTGTTGCACTCCCAAATATTTTCGTGACGCTTTCTTTTTATAGATGTTTCCCTTTTTCGATTGTTAAATTTAATTATGTATTCGCATTCGGATAAACAATTTTATCAACAAAATAATGGGGGAAACAAGCATGGCCACCGCGCCGCCGCCTGCGCCACAAGGCCCCCGCCGTTGCTCTGCACAAGTACCTACATTCGTTTTCCAACTGTTACTATAAACTGTGCTATCACTAGACATGGAGTGTATCCTCTTGTTACTCTAATATATTAAAAAATCGAATTGTATGTTATCTTTAAATAAATGGTAATGTTCTTCTGGTTCGATTTTATCACGACAATGCTGACAGCAAAGTGATATACCAATTTATTTAAAATTATCATCTGTCAAGAATATCTTATAGAACCACACTGTATGCGTAAAATATAGAGCTCATCTTATGTGAATGTTGACACAAGAAATAAAGCTATACGTGAAGTCCGTCACAGCGCACAGGTACAACACTGTGACTAAATTGATTCATAACACTCGGGAGTGAAAAGGGCTTCTGCCCGGCAGATGCAGGAATAAAGCCTGTAAATTTTTTAATTTTTAAGTCAATAGATGAGACAAAAATTAGTGTATTCACTGTGGTATGGACCAAAAAATCATGTGACTTTCGATATTTTAGCGATATTACGATCTTGTTAACACTACATATAAAATAACATCCAAACCAGTGAAGGAAAGCTGTGTAAACACTAAACAGGTCATGCGAAAATTATAACAAATTTTTTATGCAATAAGAGAGGCTCATCTCCAATGGTGTACTTTTATCGTAATAAGAGGATACTTTCGGAAATTTGTCGTTAACTACAATACAATTAATTTAAATAATTAAAAAATAAACTACAATAAAATATTGAGTGATATTGATGTCACTTTTTTTTATTAGAATAGGTGTATTAAATTAGCCAACAATGGATGGTTAGTGAATGCTGTGGCCCATAGACATCTATTTCTGTCTTTTATTAAGAATCAAAATAAAGATTTGTTGTCACTCTTGTCCACCATCTTAGTCGTCAGATTATGATTCATTTTTAAGCATGAATAGATGTAGGTGTCTATAAACCACAGTTATCCATTTACCATCAGGACTGTGTGCTTTGTCACCCTTCTTGTGTTTTTACATGAATATTATTATTTATACTTTTATTGTACACCACAAAAAAACGATAAAATAGAACAAATTACAAGGAGTAAAACTTAAGAGGTAGGTACAATAAGGCAGTCTTATCGCTAATAAGCGATCTCTTCCAGACAACCTTAAGATTAGGAGAAAGTTGTTCTATTGGACAGTGGGAGGTGGTGTATATTATAGTAAACTTACATACTAATACCTAAATAAACTAAACTGATACATAATGAAAAAAATAATACACTAATATATACATTCAAAATATAATAGACATACATAAGATTAAGTAGGCAAATATACATAAAAATTAAATAAAAAAATACAGAGAGGATACAAAAAATACATGTCGCAAATGATGACCAGTAGTTAATGCACTGTTAGGTAGTAATTTTTGACGTCAGTCTTAAACTTTTCTAGTGTTTTCGCACGACGAATTTGCGACATACATAATAAAGTAACCTCAATATGTCCTCACTCAACATAACAAATTCTTCGATGCTTTAGCTATCGAGTGGTGTAATTAAATGTTGGATGTAGACGATAAATATGTAGCTGCAACACTAAAATGTATCCCCCGATTTTGTTATCACCAGTTTTCTGAATTCCCTCCACTATGGAAGCAAATTTAAAGATGTATTCACGTCAAAAAGCGACTGAATGTATTAATACAATGTGAACAGGAGGAGGACGCGTCGTTAGCGCCAGCGGCGGCGGACGCGGGCTTCCAGTTCGACCCGGCGGCCGGCGCGCCCAACGCCGCCTTCCGCTTCTGAAGCGCGCCAGCACCAGCACCACCACCACCAGCAGCCTGGCGCCCGCCCGCTGCCACCAGCTCGAGCCCGGCAGCGTTGCCACGCCACTTGCCACATACATACCTTATTTCATGACCCAATTTTGTGAACGAAACTCAAAACACACCCTTAAAGTTAGTGTTTCGTTTTAGTTCGGGTGTCTCATATGAAAAATATATTGAGATGGACGAAAGTTTTATTTCATGCTAATGTCATACGTCAATGTTGCCTGTGCAAATATGATAAATCGTTATACATGATTACATTTGGCATATTACCGTCAATTCTGACTTCGCTGCAGTTGAGTCTGTAACTGCCATTACTGACTTGACGTTGGCAGAATTCTATCAAGGGAAACCATAAATTAAAAAAGATTTAAGTTTAGAGTAGTAAATAGGCAATTCAAGTGTGGCAACGCTGCCCTACGACCTTAATAATAGTGAACTCGATTGTTGACAACGCCGTAGCAAAAAGGCCGCAGCACCGCGCATATTGTATAGAGACCAAGCCGGTGCTGAGGTTTCGTTGTGATACAAACTCTATTTGTGATGTTTGAAGGAAATTTTTTTCGTCGTTGTTTTTTTAAATATATTGTTCGAATGATAAGGATGTGAATAGCTTTAAAGTAACGCGACGGCGGCTAATGTAATCCGCTTACAGATTAAAGGCTTTTTGATATAACATAGTATTTATGTTTCGATTCTTAACTCCCCCTCCTCTAAACGCAACCGTGTCGTCGTCGACATATGGACTGTGAACATCTCATGTACATGAAATTGTGTTCTGACAACTTGATTGTAACTATATTATACCAATAAAATCTGTCCAATATAGAATGATGTTTTATTTAAGACTCATTTCAAACATTAGTTCATTTTATTAATTAAATAAGGAATTATTTCATTGTCTGCTGGTAACATCTGGTACTGTTTTCCTTCATTGGTTTGCGTTTTCTGAAAAAAAGAATTGTTTATTAAATATTGTTCACTTACTGTTTATAACCGATTTCAAAAAGTATATGATTTCTTTTTTTTATACGCCCGTTTTTATTTACGCGATATCTTCGTAAATTGCGAAACCGATTTTTGATGATTGTTTAAATTAAATAGTGTATACATTTTATTAAAATAAATAGGTTATACCACCCCTTACTCTGGTTCTATTAATATACTAGCTGTTCCCCTTTACTTTATAATATTTTATACAATTATTATGAAAACATTTAGAAACAGCATGGTAGTGACCACCTCATTCTCAGGGGTTATTATCAGTTATGTACTCTTTAGTAGTATAATAACCCTTACTAGACAATTTTTGCTTAATAAATAATTTAAACCTTTTGATAGAAAAAGTCTGCATATTTTCTAGGACTTTGTTGTAAAAGCGTATAACATCGCCCCATGAAGGACTGACCCTTGGAGTTGAGTAACTGTTCCTAGTATTTACAGAATGTACATCACTATTTTTAATAAAACTTATTGTTTTTGTGTAAATACAATAAGTTCTCGTAAATATATTGAGAGGCCACAGTTAATATATTTATTTCTTTAAATATAAATTACTCTTATGGCTCTTTTGCAAAATAAAGACAGTTTCAATGTGAGTCGCATTACACTATAGCAAGATTCCATATGACATTATACTATGGAAATAACTAAAATAAATTAATATAGCTGTTTCAACACATGTAAGGCATCTAATCTTTTTTACAGCATATGCTGCAGAACTAAGTTTGCTAGCTAGTTTTGATATATGAGGACCCCATGATGATTCACGTCAACTGTAATTCCGAGACAAACTGGATTCAACAAGGCCCAGCTCTTGCCCATTTAAAAGCACTTTGGTATTCACCTATTTAACATTAGGTGTAGTGAATTTAATACATTTCGTTTTATTAACGTTAAACCAGTGTACTACTTTTGATATAGCATTATTTACTTCGTCATATTTTAATAATTGCCTTTTAGTCGGAATAAATTACAAATATAATGAATGATATATTTACCTCCTAGATAGAACTAATTCATATGAGCACACTAAGTATATTTACTGCACGAACTTCTATCTGGTATAATGGTAAAATCTCAAGTAGGTATTTGAAATTTTAATGTATAATAAATATCAAAATTTAACATATCTACTTAATAGAAATGGACTTTTAAATACCTTTAATATGGCTTAAACGTTTTATTATTTTAGTTTCAACTAGCTACTGTGTAGTAAGTAAATGGTGCAAATAGTTATTGACAACCCTAAAAATCATGTTTCTATTAACCTCTTTGACGTTTCTAATAAACCCTCATTCGTATCTATTCACCTCTTTATTCTTTTCTATTAACCCCAAAGGCGTTTTTATTTTATTCACCCCTCAGTCGTATCTATTCACCTCGAATTACTAATAAATAATTTAAAGGTTACCAAAATAAAGTAAAAATATTGGCAAATAATATACAGTAGTAATAAACAGACGTTCCCGAGCTGTAGGCAAACCTAGAGACAACTTTATCAAATAACCAGACTTGTGTCTATTCACCCCGTGATTTCTGTTCACCCCATCTTACCTTATGTTGGATCCTACTCTAAAGATTTGAATGAAAATTTATTTTTAGATTATGTTTACTTTCCGAGTTAATCAGTTAATCTGCCAGGCAGCTGTTTATTAATTTAGCGCAACATCTGAAGAAGTTATTTAGGTACAAATTTCGATTCCGTAATGATAACTGCATCTTGTAAGGTTAAATTATGATGTTAATCGAGATCAGGTAAGATAGAATAACAGGGTCCCGTACCGCTTACTGTGTACTTAACCTTATGGTCTACAATGAGGATTCTGAGAGAAATCTGGAGGAAACAAATCTCACTCGGAGGAGACGAAGTCGCAAAGGTCTTTGTCATTGACCTGCACATTAAGAATGGTTTTACCCTACCAGTAACAAGGCCTGTGTAACTGTGGGTTCTCCAAGAAGGAGTCCTAAGCACGTAGTAATGTAACCCCGAGGAGGACGATCTATTGACGCAATATCAATTAAATATACAAAAAACTCTGCAACATGCGGAGAGGCTGATATCGTGTTGAAGATTTTTAAATTAATTAACTACCTGGCCGATTTTAGACAAATTCCGAAGAAATGAAAACGCGTTAATCCAGTCCCTAAGTCTTTAACAAGTACGTAGGTACATAAGAAAAGCAAAACCATAAAACCAGCACAAACTCTGGCACCGGCGATTTGGACCTCAAACTTCGGACTCGGACACTAATCACCGTGGCGGCAACAAGCGACAGTGTTTTATTTTTTTAAATAAAATTGATGGTAAAAGCTACTGCAGCCCACAGATACCTGCAACCAATCTATACAAATAAATAAAATTGAAGTGTCTATTTCATCATTACAGCCTTTCATAAGTCAACTGCTGAACATAGGCCTCCCCCAAGGAATGCCACAAAGCACGGTCCTGAGCCACCTGCATCCATCGACTTCCTGCAAGCCTTACCAGGTCGTCACTCCATCTCGTGGGGGGTCGCCCTACACTTCGCCTACCGGCACGAGGCTGCCACTCGAGAACCTTTCTTCCCCATCGGTTGTCGGTTCTTCGAGTTATATGGCCGGCCCACTGCCACTTCAGCTTACTAATCCGTTGGGCTATGTCGGTTACTCTAGTTCTACTGCGGATATCCTCATTTCTAAGTTTATCACGCAGAGAAACTCCGAGCATAGCCCTCTCCATAGCTCGCTGAGCGACCTTGAGCTTCCTCATACGGCCAGCTGTGAAGGACCACGTCTCAGTTCCGTAAGTCATCACTGGCAACACGCACTGGTTGTACAATTTCGTTTTAAGGTTTTGAGGTATGTCTGACGAGAAAATGTGTCGTAGCTTCCCGAACGCTGTCCAGCCGAGTTGAATCCGTCGATTGACCTCGGTCGAAGTTGGACTTACCTAGTCGGACTATTTGTCCCAGGTAAACATACTCGTCAACAACTTCGAGCTTAGTGCTCCCAACAACTACCGGCATAGGTGTGACATGGACATTAAACATAATCTTTGTTTTGTTCATGTTCATCTTAAGACCTATCCGTTGGGAGACACTATTGAGGTCATTGAGCATAGTGCATAGGCAGAATCGCTGGAGGACCTAATCGTCCAGCGATTCTGCCATAAGGACTATATCGTCGACAAATCGAAGGTGAGTGATATACTCGCCATTGATGTTCATACCGTATCCTTTCCAGTCCAGAAGCTTGAAAACGTCTTCCAATGCAGCGGCGAAGAGTTTCGGGATATAACGTCACCCTGTTTTACACCTCTCTGCAATTGGATAGGTTTCGTACTCTGGTTCTGTACTCGGATAGCCATCGTAGCTCTACTGTACAAACACTTCAACACTTCGATATACCGACAGTCAACTTGGCACCGCTGAAGGGACTGCAGCACCGCCCAAATTTCGATGGAATCAAAGGCTTTCTCATAGTCCACATACGCCAGACATAGTGGCAAATTGTACTCTTCGGACTTCTGTACAATTTGCCGAAGGGTATGTATGTGGTCTATGGTGCTAAAGCCCTTTCGGAAACCGGCTTGTTCGGGAGGCTGGAAGTCGTCAAGTCTGCGCGCGAGACGATTCGTAATGACTCTATAAAACAGCACGTAGACGCGGCTCAGAAGGGAAATCGGTCTGTAGTTCTTCAAGAGAGCGTTGTCACCTTTCTTGAAGAACAAGACCACCGCACTTCTGCTCCACGCCTCCGGTTTAATGCCACCATGGAGGACGGAATTAAAGAGCTTCTGAAGGACTTCAAGTACCGGTCTTCCACCCGCTTTCAGAAGCTCCGCTGTAATTCCATCCTCGCCTGGGGCCTAACCGTTTTTAAGGTGCTGGAGAGCCATTCTAATCTCGCTCAGACTGACGTCCGGGATATCTTCGGAATAGTGTCGGATGAGACTCGCTCTTGGATCGTTACTCACACTTGCGTGTGGCTCCAACGATGACGTGTACAGCTACCCATAGAACCTCTCAATCTCACTCAAAATCTCAGGTGTCCCGGAAACGATACTGCCACATTCTGTCTTCAGCTTTGACAGTTGGCTCTTACTGGCAGACAGATCTCTGGCAAAGACTTTGGAGCCTTGGTTCCGCTCGATCGCTACTTCAATACGAGCTGTATTGAAGTTGCGTAAGTCCCGCCGCATGCATTTGGAGATCTGTCTGTTCAGATGCCTGTATGCTGTCACGTCTGTTGAAGAATGTAGCTTCATCTCCCGTCTGACAACCATGAGATTAAGAGTGTGATCGGAGAGTTTTTGTGTTCTTCTGCGGCAGGTCTTGCAGAACTTAGCTCCGACCGCATGGACAGTTTCCACGAGTTTGTCATTCATATCGTCCACTTCATTGCAGTCTTCTAGGCACTGAAAACGGTTTTGTAACTCGAGCTGAAAGGTTTCGGGACCTTGGAACAGAGCACGAGTGGGACGGAGCGTTGACTTCATTAGACGAGACCTCTCCAACTTAACGTTTAGGTTCAGTGTGCCTCTAACCATTCGGTAATCGCTACCAGTTTTCACCCTCGCGATCACGGAAACATCACTGAACAGTTGTCGTCTGGTCGTCATAACGAAGTCAATCTCATTTTTTGTGGAACCGTCGGGGCTCGACCAGGTCCACTTCCTGTGGGGCCGCGTCTGGAAGAAAGAGTTCATCATAAAGAGTCCCTCTTTCTCCATGAAGTCGGCCAGCTGCTGGCCCCTTGGGTTCCGTTGCCCTATTCCAAATTTCCCTACTTTCAGCTCACCGTTCTCTCTTGTGCCTAGTTTTGCATTGAAGTCTCCCATTAACACCGTATATTGGGTTTTGGAGGAATGCATGGCTCTAGAGATATCCTCATACATTTCCTCCACCTCCTCATCGGGGTGTGCCGAGGTTGGTGCGTAAACCTGTATGACCTTCAGAGAATACCGTTTGGTGATTCTGAGTATAAGGAACGCAACCCTCGTCGAAACACTCCCGATCTTTACAACATTGTTAACGAGAGACTTGTGGACGATAAATCCGACACCTCCTTGGGACAGATGGTCGCCCTCCCGATGATAGAGCAAGTTGGTGGATTCGAGGATTACCGTGTCCTCCCCCTCTCTTCGGACTTCGGATAATCCTATAATATGCCAGCGCAACTTGTCTATCTCTTCTTCCAGCTCCACGATCTTCTCGTCAGTCCTCAGGGTGCGTGCGTTGTACGTTGCCAGGTCGAGTCGTCTAAGGTGGCAACCGAACCTCCACCGGAGATTCTTAGCACCCCCTGCCCCGCCGTTACCATGGTCGCCACTGTAGCCAGGAATAGCGGGGCCGCCGGGAACTGGGGGCCGTCTGTTTGTTGCTTGGGTATTTGCCATAGTTGCCACGCTTGGCGAGCGGGTTGGCAACCGCAGTTTTTTTATTGTAATTTTGGCTATTATCAGGAAGATGCTGCTGCCCATCTCCTGCCTGTTTCCCTTTGTCGCCTTTTACGACACCCACGGGAGGATTGGGGTAGTGGTAGAGGATTCTTGATCGCCACTACACGGCAAGTTTCTGTTTGTAATGTCCAAATTACAGCTTTTTACTAAATGCATATGAAAGTATATACGGTACTAATAACAAAAATACAATTTTTAAAGTTTTTGTCTGTCTGTCTGTTTGTTCCGGCTAATCTCCGAAACAGCTGGACCGATTTTGACGGGATTTTCACTGGCAGATAACTGCTGTCACAAGGAGTAACTCAGGTTACTTTTATTTTAGAAAAATAATTAGGGTTCCGCGTAAAAAAATTAAAACCCCAAATAACACGAGGGCGAAGTCGCGAGGTACAGCTAGTTTTAAATAAAGAAGGCTACAATACCTCACGGCCTGTAGTTATACTGGTTTCCTATTACCAATCTGAGCAGAACACAGCAATGCACTCACTGTTATTTGGCGGCAGAAATAGGTAAGAGTGTACCTATAAAAGTGTGTTTTAGTTATTTTTGTTTTTAAATAATTAATCTTACAGCTTTTTTATTCTCGCAAGCGTAGCACTTTACGTTGCTGTAGGACTGCTCTGTCGAGGTCTCGGCCAGAGAGCGCGCCGTCAATTTGTTGTTTAGCGCCTCCACATCGTAAAATTGACCCACTTTGTGCTGAAAGCTGTCAAAAGATTCACTGCTTATATGTTTAGGCCAAATTCATGTAATTTCAAAACAATTTAAAGACGGTTGTACATGTTGGCCGAGCGAAAGCGAGTACCAATGTATAGACAGCCCATTTGTCTAGCCTCACCATTGTTCGTTGTCGCTCGCCTGGTTGGTGTATATGGTTCGTTTGGGGTGCATTGCCATCACTCGGGATCGCTCGCCATAACTCGTCTCACATCGCAATAGTATCGATTTTTCTGCACAAATCAAAGGCGCTCGCCTGCACTCGGCGAGTCGCATCCATATTTTAATCGGTCATGTCAGTATGTCCACTCTTTCAAACTTGGCCAACATGTAGACTGTAGCACTCGTCTTGTATCAATTTGCCTACGCTCGCGTTGACTGAGGCCTGACCAACATGTATTACCTACTTATTAAATTATAAACATATAGTACCATGTAGTGGTGGCATAAGTAATTCGATTACCCCATGTTATTCCGTAGGTATCGAAAGAGGCGATAAAGGCAGGAAATGGGGGGCTGTATCTTCCTGATAACAACAAAATAATAAAAAGGAAAGTAACTATGGCAAATATGAGGCAATCTATTGAGAAGGCCTTTTTTCAGCAGTGGACTTTAGTAGACAGTAATGAATGGTGGTACAAAAACATCATAAAGATAGAGAAACATATAGTGATATAATCTTCTTCATCATCAAGCAGTAAAAGTCGTCAAATATCCAGGTCTGCGTTGTGCAGCAAAGTTGAAGATGTACGGATCTGCGATCGTTGATAGACGTAACGTCTAAAAAGTATCCGCCATAATTTCATTTAATTACTAGAATCAAGAAATCACGGTGGCGACGTAAAAGAACCAAATAGCCTATTTCGTCTTGTGGGTCTCCTAAGAGGAGGCTATAGGAAATGTTAGAAAAATGTTATTTCTTTTGTTAGATTGCGGTATGACCATCTCGTTTACTCCCGGCGAAAAATACCTAGGCCGACGACGGGCAGCAGCATCCAAGGTGCAATACGTCTAGTACTGTGATCGTCTAACCCAGTGGCGGATTATCCTTAAGGCAAACCTAGGCACGTGCCTACGAGACCAAGGTGAAAAAGGGGCGCGCGCAAAAATTTTAAAACGAAAAATATCGTCTATTTCATTACTCCTATATCGCCCTCACTCTCACATTACATTTTTAATTTACGCCCACCTGTTAAGTGTGCTCAATACTCGTATCCTAATTATTTTGCAACTGGTGGGCGTAAATGAGAAATGTGATGAGAGAGTGAGTGCGACATAGGAGTAATCAAATCGATGATTTTTTTCGTTTTAAAATTTTTGCGCTGGTTATATTTAATCTACCTCTCGTCTAACCTCCAAGTCAAGCGTGACGATTAAGGTAAATTCTCTTTATAACAGAAAAGGCCCATTATCAAAAGCGGACTTTTATCGGCTGATAAAGAGGAAGAATAGATTTTTTTTTTATAAAACTAAAGTGACAAACGAACTCATAGCCTACCTATGTAAGTGGCTGGTGTAACTTCAAACAAACAAGGCTACAGATGAGGATTTCTTTAAGATGGAATGCCTCACAGCCTGTAAATGACACGGACTGTAATAGCCACTTACCATCGATTCAACTGTAAGTTCGTTTGTCACTTCATATTAAAAGAAAGATAAAACAACAGAGACAGTCGCTTGTTGATCGCTGATGTTCAACTAGCGACGGCCGTCATATATTTACATAATATATGTATGCTCAAGTCGCGTCGGCCGCCGACGTTGACACAATCGCAACCTCTATTTATTTTACGGAACTTGGCTGAGGCTGACAAGCGAGCACACAGTCCACCTGATGGTAAATGAATGCTGTGGCTCATAGACACCTACATTTATACTCGATTAAGAATTAAAATGCTGGCCTAAAATAGAATTCCTCGTAACCAGTAAAGAGTCTCCGGTTCTCGGCACTCACTATACGATACGTAACACAGCAGCATTGTGATGCTATTTCAGACTGGTATTCTGTGAGAGCGTGGTCCTTTCCGGTCGAGCCGACCCATTCGTGCCGCAACCATAATTGGACGTAGTTATGCAAAAAGGATCCAACCCGCGATAAGTTAATTTGAGTTTATAATATTTGAAGTATCCATATTTCAAATATCATAAACTCAAATTATCGGTATGGTTTCTGTCTGTTTGTAATTTTTTTTTATTTGTGTTACTTTTGCTAAACTTGTTACATCACATAATAGTATAAATCACAAACATTATTTTTCAAGTCAACATTTTTGACACAAACACGGCTTGGATCCTTTTTGCATAACCACGTCCAAAATTGCAGCGTGGCTCTAACACGCTTTAAAACTGCTTCCTTGACTTCAACAGTACGTAGAACATTTTTCACTAATCTCATATTGGTGAGAAACTTCTTACAGAACACGAGGTTTTAGGGTAAATCTCACTTCGGCAGCGGCTTCGTCCAATGATTGTCGAGGCGATTAACTTTCATGATGGCGTTAAGCCGCTGTAGCAGACTGAAGTTGTCGTTTTGGATCTTGGCTTTGCGGTCCATCTCACACTGGAACTTCTTAAGCTTGAGAGCGACATGTGGTCGCGCGGCAGGTGCGCGGTCGTCTATGGCCGGTAATGCGGACTTAACCTTCGTGTAAAAATATTTTTTTTTAATTTTGCTAGGTTGACTCTTCGTTGTCTATTTTGCTGACCGTGATCGGCGGTGTAAGAGTTACCACTACCCCATATCGTTCTGTGGGTGTCGTAAGAGGCGACAGAGGGAAAAACAAACTAGGAGATGAGCAGTGTTCGTTATTAGGAAGACGTTGCTGCATTCCTAATAACAACTAAAACAAAACTGGGTTTACGAACCCGCTTGCCAAGCGTGGCAACTATGCCAAATAGTCTTATGAACAATATACGGGGGAGACCTAAATTCAGCAGTGGACTTTGATTAGGCTTTAACTGTAAAGTTAAGGCGATACCCCGAGCAAAACCTTGCGATAGTGCGTTTTTCAGAGACTATTATCTTAAAGCCGAGAAATAAACTACATCTAAAAGCACATTATTAATGTTCGATATCCTATCATCACATTCCACGTTCTAATTTGTTTTTATGTGTTATAAATACATTTAAAATCTACTTTTAAAGAAAGACTAAAATTATTGATTACATGCATCTGTTGCTAAAGGCAACGCTCTAATCATTTGAGGATTACACTAATGGATAGATAATTTAAAAATCTATATTTTATTTTATTTTTAAAGTTCGTTTTTTTTTTTAAATTAATATAGTTCCAAAAATTGTGTGAATTCTATGATAAAGCGGCGTACGTCTAAAGAGGGAACGAATGCTCAAAGTTATTTGGTCAGGGAAACGTCTTAACGGACTATTTTGCGGCCTAAATGAAAGGCCAAATTACGTACATACTTTATCATCATCGATCACTAATAAAAAACTTATCATACATTAAACTAACAAACTTAAATTTCTAAATATTGATCTCTCTTCTAAAACCAAAAAATCTAGATTGCACAAGGACAGTTATCCAGACCCGCAACTACTCTTTGTAGGCTATACTGGCGGTGCGGGATTCGAACCCGTGGCCCTCACCGCTGGGCCACCGAGCTACCAGATGTTTACTATAGAATTCATTGCATCAAAGTGACTCAATTATAAGACATTTATTACATAGATTGTCCTAGTAGTACTATAAAATGTTTAAGCTTTTACTTACTTTATATTTATGATCTTTAAATCTTTTTTCTTCCCACGGCTGTACCAACAGTTTATCTCTACGTGATAACATTTTAAAATATTTTAAACACAATCGTCTGATAAGGCTTACGAATGTGTTATATTTAATCAATAAATTTTGCTAGGAGACGCAAGGATCAGTAGGGCTCTATTCATTAGGTAAAATTAAAGGACTTTTTCTTTAATGAATGTCAACTTTAACAAAATTAAAACTATACTTTGGACTTTGATATAGTTTAGTTTAACTGCTAACATTCATTAACTGACTAGCTTTACCCGTAGCTTCACTTTGGTCTTGTTTTAGCAACATCATTAGTATTACATGCCGAAATATATCATATATTCATATATATCAAACAGCACATTTATAGAATCACCTCGATGTCTGTCTGTATGTCGCGAAAATATTACCGTTGCCCCGCAGCCCGTTGGCTGCGCGCAGCCAGAATGAGTAGGACAAATGTATGTGGCTGCCGTCAGTCACCGCGCACTTGTGGTAACAGCCATGCGTATTTTGTGTTCCAAAATCACAAAATGACTTTCGATACGAAGAAATTAATTCGCGATTCGCGAAATTGAAAACCGTGAAGCAATATGGGATATATCTATAGGAGTATCATTGCCCTTAATTGAATTTCTTATATTTTCCAAAAGGTATCAAATGATTGCACTGATATTCTCGTGTTAAAAACCAGTCTGGGTATTTACGAACATCTTTGAAATAGGTATGAAATAAGCCTTTTTTTTAAACGTTACCCCCACACTAGGATTTTCTCAATTATCGCAGAGGCAGTTTACAAACACAAATTGCACAAGGACAAACACCCGGAACAATTATTTGTAGGTCATACATATAATTGTTCCGTGCGGGATTCGAACCCGCGGCCCCAGCGCAGCAACTCATTGCTAAGCCACTGCGCCACGGAGCCGTCTTTTGAGTGCCGTTCTAGAAAAAGAGGATGAATTCAATGTCTTCTAGCTTTGCTTTTTTTAGGAAATACACACAAAATTACAAGTTCTTCAACGTCCACATCCCTCGAAGAAAGGGTCACGACTGGCCGTCCATTGGTTGTTTAGAAGTGGCTACTCAAATATTTCGGCCGCCGCAGCCTGGCTGCCTAGTGCGCGGCAGGCGTAAAAGTCTGGAAAAAGTATACCTTTTTATTTTATCTGTTCGAATTTTTTATTAAAGTAAAATTATTAGAAATCCGTTTCGTACTTTTTACTCATTTTATTCATTTATTTTCACAGCAGAGTTCTATTTTATAGTTTTTCCTTTTTAACCTCTTTTCGAATAAAATTATCCTACCGGTTATATTTTTTACCGAAAGGAAGATATACTTTTTTATTTTTAAAAAAGTAATAAAAAAAAACGAATTTTGAATATTGTGTAGGGTGCATATTCTACACGTGGTAAGTATCCATGAATTTGTAGCACTCTTGACCTTGAACCAGCCTCTAGATAAAAAGCAGGCAATTTAAATTAGTAGTATTTTTTGATAGATCAATTTGGTAATTGTCAATGAAGCAACAATAACTTTTAAAATTATCCATGCCATCATTGAGCTATAATGTACTACGTACTTGAAGCGACACTGCATTAATTACGCTGTCCCATTCAACTGCGGCGATATCGCCGCACTTTACTCACTCGCTCGTTAGGCTCCAGTGAGTTGACACCACAGAGTACTTTTTTATATAGGAAAGTTGACACGTGCTGTGTTGATTGTATAAAAAATTGCTTGATAAAATATGCCATGATGTGTTTTAGATATTGCACAAATAATTCAAGAAATGTTAGGAAATACCAAGGAATAACTTTTCATCGGTAAGTAATAAGATACTTAGTTAACAAAAACAGTATTATAGATTAATAATCAAAAAAAATTATTCCTAAGACTCCATCTCGGGTCATGAAATATAGATTATGAAATTAATTTAAGTGTGGGAAAAATTGTGCATATTATGTTTTTTCTAAAAACAAAAAGAAGTATGTAATAATTAGGCTAATTTTCTGATATTTAAATTTGTTGATTATTCTTTTATTTTATTTTTAAGTTTCCACGTCTAAGCTATGAAAACAGGGAAAAGGAGAATAAATTCGTCCATTTTTAACTCTCGGGTGCCAAGCATTTATGAACGGCTGATATTTTAAACTAAATAAACATAATATTTGTAAATTGTATGTTATATCAATATGTTTTGTTACACATACATTTAGTATCTTTTTTATATTTTACATAGTTACCTTTTAAAATATTCAAATAAAAATATCATTGAAATGTAATTGTGATATTATGTAATATTATATTAAGCTAGCTGTTCCCCGCGACTTCGCCCTCGTTCAATTTAGGGTTTTAATTTTTGCGCGGAACCCTAATTCTTTTTCTAAAATAAAAGTAGCCTAAGCTACTCCTTATAACATCAGCTATCTGCCAGTGAAAGTCCCGTCAAAATCGGTCCAGCCACTTCGGAGATTAGCCGGAACAAACAGACAGTTAGCAGACAAAAAATTTTAAAGTTGTGTTTTTGTTTTATGTACCGTATACACTTTCATATGTATTTAGTAAAAAGCTATTATTTTGATATTACAAACAGACACTTCAATTTTATTTATTTGTATAGATTAGCACATATTATATGCAAAATAAATGACACATTTTAAAAATTATACTCGATATAATTTACATAATTAACAATACAATCTATTATTACATACTGATCATTCTGTCTTCACTTAATCTAAGATAAAAACCACTACTCTTCCCTGCGCATGCGCGAAGACATGAGTGTAGCGCACATTTTTTGTTTCAAATAGCTGTTCTGGTACGTAAGAACATATTACTTCAAAGCATGCCATAGGGTTTACTTCGTTCAACCATTACGTAGGATAAGGAATTAATTGTGACAAAATAATCGAGTGATCTTTTCTTGTCACAGTACCTCTAAGACGTTAAATTTTTATAACAATACCTAAACCTAATTACTTACTTTAATGCTGGACTAAAAAAAATTGTACGCCTTTTTTATTTCTGCCGCTAAATTATTAATGATTTTTGATAAATTATCCAAGTTTTTACAGGTGATATTGCACATGTCCCTTGATGTTTTTGCTTACAATAAATGTTAAACGTACTTTGACCAGAAAGGCCCATTGGAAAACTGACTGGATAAGGATTTATGAATATGAAATTATTTTTGCAGTAGTGATCGGCTTAGTGATACAATTTTAGGTTATTCTAATGTTATAATACCAACATAAATATTATAATTATACCATTTCAAACGTAGAATGGAACTTACCAATACCTTTTTATATAAAAAAATGACACCCCAGATTTTTTCCGGTATTTTCTGTAAAGTTCAGACTTCGTACAGTGCTGGCAGATTTGACGTTCAGAAGTGCTTTAAATAAACCTCAACTAAAACTTCTGTATCAAATAGCAGAACGGCAACACAACAACATTGTCTATTACCACAAAGGTGTCGATTTTTGTGGGAAAAAAAACCTCAACTAAATTATGTTTTTCACTTTGATTGTGTGTGCAGTTCACTGGTAGTTATAAAGGTGTACAGTAAAAACCTATCTCTATAATATTTTACATACGGACGCTCGCATATTTCTTCCCCCTACCTAGCCTGCCTCTTTTCAATAATATTCCCCACCTATAATCGTGAAGATCATACTGTGCAACGCGGCCGTACGTACGAAACATATCTGTAAATACACCTGTGATCTCGCGCTGAATTATTAAGGGCTGGTAAAGTGTGCTTAACTGTTTGCCTAGGTAGTTCCTGTGCCGATTGGTAACATACTACTGTTTGCCAACTATTACCTTTTTGCATTTTCTAAATATTATTTCCTTGGATTTCATATCTATAACAATGATTATATATAGGAGTGTTCAAAAAAACACATTTGGCAAATTAATAAATAAATTATATTGTTAAATATTACACTGCACTTACAACGGTATCGTATCATGCTCGTTACATCAGAATAATATACACGAAAACTTACACTTGGTTACAAATTACAAAAAAAAAATAATTTGAGCAATACAAAAATAAAAAACCGAATCACTCTAAATCTATAAACTAATGCAACGCACTTTCTTAGTATTAGAGTTTTCTGAGTTAGTACACATGGTAATGGGGTACTTTGGTACCATACAATTTCAAATATAATATATTATTCGCAAAATAATGTTGTTACATAGGAATGTAAGTCAGCTTTTACTTGTTTTGGCAATGTCAATCATAAAGCTATTAAATAAAACATAATTTCAAATATTAATTGTTATAAATGCTTTGAAAAACATTTTCGGAAACTCTCCAACATACTATTTTTTTACAAAAAATTACATTTTTCTTGCACGAACAACACAATAATCGAGTCTTCGTACTGCGAAATATTCCGTTTCTAGCTTTGTGCATAATTCCCTGGCTTTTCGTTTTCAAGTGTATTCATTAGCTTTTAGGGAAGACATGTGTTTTGTTAGCTCAATTCATCATCCACCACAAAGCAATAAACCCCCTTAAACAAAGAACATCTGACAAACTGCAATTCAAAAGAGCGGGCTCATCGTGTCTTTCTTAAACGAGCTCACCGTTTTAAAACCTTCCTAACATATACTAAGGTACAGTTGAGTTTGTCTCGCATTTATTCTAGTTACAATAATGAGTATAAAACGTATTAAATACATCAAAAAGATCTAGTAACTTACGATCCCTCCGTTTTGGGATATAACATCGAGGATTCGAAAGTTTACCACTAGCTTCTAAAGGTTGAATGCGTTAAAATAATAACGAGAACCCAAAATCATGTCTTAAATTATCACGTAATAAAATTATTCTCGAGGATGTTCTCCCAACGGATCTCACTCATGGAGACGTAATATCGTCTGCCAACAAACCAGCAACTAGGAAACCACCCTCAACGAACTATTATGCAGTGATCGCTACACTTACACTATGTTCTGCATACAAATCTACACTTGGTGCATTGAAGACATTATTTCAGATTCGAAAAGAAAATGCTCATAGAAAAATAAATTGTCTCATTATATTTTAATACTCAATGGTGTGTCGTTTACAAAAGTAATATGATATTTATCCGAAAACCACCGATCCCTCATCGGATACAGCAAAAGGCAAAACTCGAGACGGTTCCTTGTTAGTATAAGCGCGAATACTTGTCACGAATGATAACGTAGACCTTAGAGCAGTGAACACGAATAAAGTACAGCTAAATATATCTACATAAAACTACATCATGTTAAAAAATAAAATACTGCAAACTTATCATTAATATTTGTATTTATTTATATATTTATATAAAGAGCGTTATCCTAATTATTTAAAAATAAATACAAAATCTAAAACAACTGGAAAGCTGCCGCGTATAATTCTCACAACAAAAAGTTTACATTTAGAAACACGCTGTATATGAACTTAAATTAAACTGATGTATATATTATTATTAGGATATGGAATTTCCCCATTTTGCGCATTTCAAATGAAATCATATTTTTATTAGATACAATTCTCTCAAAATGTGCAAGTTGAGGCTAAAATACGGTGATAAGCGAAGCGTTTGTGATGCCGGCGTATATTGACTAGCGACAGTCACATCAGCGGAAACCGGCCCCTGAGATTCCGACCCACGGCACAAGTTTATACAGGCTGTTCGACATTTTAAATGAGTAATACAAAATTAATACCCCAGAAGTACAAAGACAGACGATAGAGCGCAGCTGCATATCGATATTAAATATTACGCAGAGAGTATTAAGTAGAAAAAGTATAAGAAAAAAAAAATAAACACCTGTTTAAACTTGCGACGTACTAAACATACCAATGGAATACCTACTTCGTTGTCGATAAAACTAGAATTCGATAAAAGTAAAGAACGACCGATCCAAAATCGGTTCTTCCATACACCATAGCCATTATTACAAAAATTCCCTTACATCGTCACCATTCCGCGGTTTTCCCTGAAATGACTTAACATATAAACTTACCTAGTCCAACATCACAACATACTCTATGCAATTGTATATCACATGCTCATACGTGAGGCGTTCCAATTATACAGGCTGGTTCGAGACGATCATAGTACGCGAGAAAGTAATTTCGTCATACCCTCACTTATAAAATGTGATTTAAACTATATAAAAAATCTTTTTTTTTAATCAATTACACTACATTACTTATAAGTGACTTAAGAAATAATATGATATAGAAATGGCTCTTATATTTAACTATAGTATTGAATGTAGTAAAAAGCCAATTTTTGGTTTATTATCGTTATATTTATATGCAGTGGCGTTGTATCAACGCAGTCACTGTACACACTAGTGTGCTATATATAAATTGTCCTCGAATAAAGGCCTGGATTTCGTGTAGACCAAATGACAATGGCGAAATTGAATTTTCTGTACACAACGCGATTTTCTAGTTACTTTACAAATATTATTAATTTAATTGATAGTGATTTTTTCAAAAGGCGTTGACTTTAGAAAGAAATTTCTATCAAAAAATTAACGGACGATCTATTTTTTTTTTTCAATATTGTCTAGATTAAATCCGCCACACACCAATCGAAATATTTTTCTAATTATAATTTGTCAAAAGACCATTGTCACTGGGGTTACACAGACTTCTCCAAAATACATTACATTAAAAATCATTACTTTTACTATTGAACTAGTCAAATTACAATTGATCTTTATAGCAGAACAATATTTGCTATTGTTTTTACAGCCTCGTTCAAACCCACAACTGACTCTGGCTTTCAAATTATTTTGTTCTTTAAGTAACTGGTTTAGAAAATATAAACTACATATTTCACTTGTCGTTTAGCCAATGGTTAATTTTACTTACGAAGAATGTTTAGACGTGCCAACATAATATCAGTGTTGTAGTCTTCATTTCATCACCTAATTCTTACTTGTGCCTGTCCATGTCAAATATTTTATGGACAGTTTTAGGCCTTAAATTTTTTTTAATCTGCTGTTACAAATGACAGGAAACCATATTATGACAGATGTCAAAATGACATTTGAAAATGTACCACCCCCTTTTTAATTGATAAGTTAGAAAACAAGTTGGATTTTAAAGTATATAAATGAATAAATAAGTTTAAAAAGGAATCATAGGATCCAGTAATTTTGACTTGAAAGTAATGTGGAAATAAATTCATGTTATAACCCAATGAGCATTGTTGTCTTTTGAACATCACATTTTTGCTAATTCATATTTATCACATTTATAAAACTGACATAATAAACGTTAAGTGAAACACATTTTTTATATCAGCTTTTTGTAACTTGTCACTAAGCATATCAGTTATATACAGTAAAAAGCTATAGCCATTGCTGGCATTGATTGATTTATTTTTGATAAGGTGATATTATATGATGTAAATTGTTTATAATGTGCTTTTTATACAGTGAACTTGTCTTACAGGTAATTGATATTATAACTTATTTATAGATTTCTATTGTTAAAAGTGAATTATTTTAATTAACTTCCAAAAAGTAAATATTGTTACACAGTACCTCCTAATTAAAATCAGACTCTGTGAATATAGTTAATATAATGAGTATGGTGTTAAATTGTTATTTTAAAAAATAATTAGCTAAATATAATTGAATTAGTGATAACATGGCTGGATATTTCATAATATTTTTAATGGAAGTAGTAGTGAGCATTATTTTGACACCATCTCAGTTTATAAAATTATAAGCTCTAACACCCTATTTCACCCCCAAAGGAGTTGAATTTTCCAAAATCTTTTCTCAATGGGTATCTACGTAAAGAATGAGAGCGTATGCCAAATTTTAAGTCAATTGGACAGGTATATATATTATTGCAGATATGACGTAAGAAAACAACGTCATATCTGCAATAATCAATATTTCTCAAAAATGACAAAAGAAACAAATATGGCAACTTAGGTGCTGTCAAAATGACATCTGACACATATATTTTTCAAAAGGGAAATTTGTTTCAGTGATATCAAATTATCTTCATATACTTTGTACATGTTTCTATGTTCAAATGAAGTGATGGTGGGTACAGATGTACTAAACGAGGTGTGGGCTAGTTTTGTTAGGCCCTAAATGCGCTTCGCGTTTAGACGCACGTGTATGCAAACAATCGTACAGTAGTTACTAGCGACTAGCCATACTGGGCGTTCTCGGCTTAAAGTAACCTGTCCACCAAAGCACAGCAGATAGGAGTAATTAAATTCAAAAGAAACTGCAGACCTTTAGCATTTTTTTAACAATTGCCTAAAAGAATTTAAATAAATGTTTCAGTTGATACAACTATAAAATTTAAGTCTTGATTAGGAACCAAGTTTCTGCATTGTCCACTTTTCTTATGTAAGCTATTCGCTTCAACAAACGTTACTTAGTTTTAGAATTTACAAACCAAGTCAAACTGCCTCATTGAAACAAAACTCCTAACTAGTGATGAAACGATTATCACTTGGCAATTACGATTATTGCGTTTAATAATCGACAATTACCATTATTTCTGTTTTAAAATAAAACTATATCGATACTATTATCGATAAAAGAGCATATAAGTAATCTTTGCTGAAAAAAGAATAATCAAATTTATAGAATTTTAATTTTTTATTAATAAAACATAACAATTTTAGCTTCTAGGGTAATATAAACCTTGTAGGGACGGTGTAAGAATATCCATTGCTCTATATCGTCCCGTGGGTGTGGTGAGAGGCGATAGAAGGGAAACTGAAACAGGAGACGGGCAGCAGTATCTTCCTGATAACAAATCAAAATAATAAAAAAAACTGCCGTTGCCAATCTACCTGCCGAACGTGGCAAGTATGGCGAAATCCCCTGTGAGACAATCTAGGGCTAATGGAACATGAACGTCTATGCTCAGCAATACACCTTTATATGCTGTAATGGATGGATACATTTCTATTTTTTCAGGCGTCAATCTGTTCTTTTTTCAGTTTGAATCAAGCCAGCTGTGCAAAATAATCTCTCAATGCTACGGATGATGGGTTGATTTTTTGCTGAGCATTAACAATTATAACAAATTCCTTTAAAAGTCATAAATAAGTCGCTCATTAATCGACGAATACGATTAATCGTGAAATGTTCGATAATCGTCGTTTACGATAAATCGAAATCATAATCGTTCCATCACTATACTCCTAACTAGGCTGACCTTTTGGTGGACAGGCGAAGTCGTGGGACTAGATTCAGCACTGTTGGCTGGCTCTTGGCAGAGGACGCACAAGGTAGAGCTTCTCTCCTTGCTTGTTGGTGTAGATGGGTGCCCGCTGGTAGTGAGCCACCAGTTGGTCCAGGGTCGGGAACTTGCGCTGCCCGATGCAGTACAGGTTGCCTTCCACGTGTACTCTGAAGTGCTTGTTGCGGCCCGGCGCCTTCAGTGACACAGAGTAGTCACCCACCTGTGGACATAGCAACAATGGGTAATTATAAAAAAAAATTGTTTATGTTCTCATCACATATGGGTTTTCGTATAAAAGGCTTAAGATGGTAGTAGGCTGACTTTTTTTTATAGAATAATGGTGACAAACAAGCATACAATCCACCTCCATCACCCATCCATGGTAAGTGGATGTTGCGGCTCATAGACATTGACATCTATCTTTGGTGTCAAGGGCGCAAGGAGACATTAACTGCATATTATGTGTTTTCATATCGAGTGAACTGTCATAACATAAACACGTAGTTTCTTTTCTGTGTCATGCTATAAGAATATAGACCTTAATGATTTTAACATTCGGATTAGAATCAATATTATCACTCCTGAGAACTAAGGTGGAATGCCTCATTTCCAGGAAAAAGGGTCTTCAGTTCTCTACACTCACCATACGAAACGCAGCTGCATTGAGCTGACGCTGGTATTTTGTGAGAGTGTGGTACTTTCAGGGTCGCACCGACCAGTATTTTTTAAATTCACTAGCATTATCAGTACAGCTTATTAAAACCCACTGCTGAACATGGGGGAGGAGCAAAAATTGTCTTGGGATATCTGCCATAATTACCACGCTTGGCTACCGCAGTTTTTTTATTTATAATAATAATAATAATTTATTTGCCAGAAATATGGTGCTTACAGACATTATAATTAAAGATAGTACAAGCATATTTCGCCAGTGGCATGCAAATACATAAGACATTACATTACATTTTGAGCCGTTATTAGTAAGATTCTGCCGTCCATCCCCTGATTTGTTTCCCTCTGTCGCCTCTTAAAATATGGGGTAGCGGATATTCTTACACCGCCGCTACACGGCTTACAATTGATTACAGCTTATCATAAGTCTACTGTTGAAATGCAGGTTTTTCCCATATACATTCTTATACAAGATGTCCCAGAACGTAACGATCAAACGAAAGGGGGTTGTAGACGATGGAAGAAATGTTCCAAAAAAAAAATTAAGTTCCATACCCAAGTTGCACGGTTTAAAAGATTTTTTTTTATAGGATCGGGTGACAAACGAGCACACAGTCCACCTGATGGTAAGTGGTTACTGTGACCCATAGACATCTATATCTATCTCAATAAAGACTCAAGATGCAGATGCGTTGTCACCCGTGAGGACTAAGATAGAATGCATCTTTGCCAGTAAAAAGGGTCTCCGGTTCTCTACACTCACCATACGAAACACAGCAGCGTTAAGCTGCTATTTTACGCTGGTTTTCTGTGAGAGCGTGGTCCTTCCCCGGTCGAGCCGACCCATTCGTGCTACAACCATAATATAGCTGCAGCATGGCTCTACAACGTATAGGTAGTAGTAAGATAAAGGTAGATTTATAAATTTTCCAGAACATCACCCTTTGCCTCAATATTTTTGATGCTGCAGCTCCAAATGAAGACCGATTTAAATTTTTTTTCTGTTTTGTACAGCCTAATCATATCATAGCAACTAAAGCTGAGAAGCATCGTATGTATTGTACTTTTGAATGTATTTTGTTTAGTACCAAAATTGGATAAAAAAATTAACTACTTTTTACTTTTCTATGGATATTAGATCTAAAATCGGCCAAATCAGCGTGAAAATAAATTATTTTTCTTTACATCAATCGAACGGACGAATCATTTAAAAAAATATCTAATTGAGTTATTTTCAGAAAATCTACCCTCTGCGAGAAAAAAATATAGTACAAAAAATAAAAGTACCAGTTATTATACCATTTTAAAATCTACATGAATTGCGCCAACTTTTCAATACAGTTGCCAGGTCCATATGACTACATTTTTTTACAGGGTGAAGGACCCTTCACCCTTGCTCGATAAAACTTTAATGTTACATTTTTACACTTTTACGAATTTTTATCTATTTATTTTTACCAAACCGTAATAGGTACTGAAAAATAAAGTAGTAGGTATAGTAGGCATATGATTAGGCTGTACAAAATAGAAAAAAAAAAATTAAATCGGTCTCCATTTGCAGCTGCAGCATCAAAAGTATTGAGGCAAAGGATGATTTTCTGGAAAATCTATAAATCACCATTTATCTTTTAAACCACGCAACTTGGGTATAGAACTTAATTTTTTTTTGGAACAGTTCTTCCATGGTCTACAACCCCCTTTCATTTGATCGTTACGTTCTGGGACACCCTGTATTTTTTTTTATCGGATAAGGGTGTCAAACGAGCATACAGTCCACCTGATGGTAAGTGGTTGCTGCGGCCCATAAACATCTACATTTATCCTCTATTACAAATCAAAATGCAGATGCGTTGTCACCCGTGAGGACTAAGATGGAATGCCTCATTTCCAGTAAAAAGGGTCTCCGGTTCTCTACACTCACCATACGAAACACAGCAGCGTTAAGCTGCTATTTTACGCTGGTATTCTGTGAGAGCGTGGTTCTTCCCCGGTCGAGCCGACCCATTCATGCTACAACTATACTACTAATATAGCTGCAGCATGGCTACATTTGGTAGGTTTTATTTTTATTTTGAGTTGTAATCGGAAAGATGTAGGTGCTCATGTCTCACTACAGTTTCTCCCTGTTGGCTGTTTTTTTTTATTTGCGCAAGCAGCTAAGTAAGTCTAGAGAGACCAGTATCATTGCGACAAGTAAGATCTATTGTGATCGCTGCTATGGCTAGTCTGTTGCTAAGCCTTATAATTAATAAATAGCGCGTGATGGCGCCGTAGTACCAGGCGCGGCCCGCGTTACATCAGCTGTGTGTAGGGTGTAGTGTAGTGTTGTGTCTCACGTTGGTCTCGGAGTCGCGGATGAGGAAGTCCCCGTCGTGTCCGTGCTGGTCGAGCAGCGCGTCGCAGTGGCTGCGCGTGATGGCGCCGTAGTACCAGGCGCGGCCCGCGTTACATCAGCTGTGTGTAGGGTGTAGTGTAGTGTTGTGTCTCACGTTGGTCTCGGAGTCGCGGATGAGGAAGTCCCCGTCGTGTCCGTGCTGGTCGAGCAGCGCGTCGCAGTGGCTGCGCGTGATGGCGCCGTAGTACCAGGCGCGGCCCGCGTTACATCAGCTGTGTGTAGGGTGTAGTGTAGTGTTGTGTCTCACGTTGGTCTCGGAGTCGCGGATGAGGAAGTCCCCGTCGTGTCCGTGCTGGTCGAGCAGCGCGTCGCAGTGGCTGCGCGTGATGGCGCCGTAGTACCAGGCGCGGCCCGCGTTACATCAGCTGTGTGTAGGGTGTAGTGTAGTGTTGTGTCTCACGTTGGTCTCGGAGTCGCGGATGAGGAAGTCCCCGTCGTGTCCGTGCTGGTCGAGCAGCGCGTCGCAGTGGCTGCGCGTGATGGCGCCGTAGTACCAGGCGCGGCCCGCGTTACATCAGCTGTGTGTAGGGTGTAGTGTAGTGTTGTGTCTCACGTTGGTCTCGGAGTCGCGGATGAGGAAGTCCCCGTCGTGTCCGTGCTGGTCGAGCAGCGCGTCGCAGTGGCTGCGCGTGATGGCGCCGTAGTACCAGGCGCGGCCCGCGTTACATCAGCTGTGTGTAGGGTGTAGTGTAGTGTTGTGTCTCACGTTGGTCTCGGAGTCGCGGATGAGGAAGTCCCCGTCGTGTCCGTGCTGGTCGAGCAGCGCGTCGCAGTGGCTGCGCGTGATGGCGCCGTAGTACCAGGCGCGGCCCGCGTTACATCAGCTGTGTGTAGGGTGTAGTGTAGTGTTGTGTCTCACGTTGGTCTCGGAGTCGCGGATGAGGAAGTCCCCGTCGTGTCCGTGCTGGTCGAGCAGCGCGTCGCAGTGGCTGCGCGTGATGGCGCCGTAGTACCAGGCGCGGCCCGCGTTACATCAGCTGTGTGTAGGGTGTAGTGTAGTGTTGTGTCTCACGTTGGTCTCGGAGTCGCGGATGAGGAAGTCCCCGTCGTGTCCGTGCTGGTCGAGCAGCGCGTCGCAGTGGCTGCGCGTGATGGCGCCGTAGTACCAGGCGCGGCCCGCGTTACATCAGCTGTGTGTAGGGTGTAGTGTAGTGTTGTGTCTCACGTTGGTCTCGGAGTCGCGGATGAGGAAGTCCCCGTCGTGTCCGTGCTGGTCGAGCAGCGCGTCGCAGTGGCTGCGCGTGATGGCGCCGTAGTACCAGGCGCGGCCCGCGTTACATCAGCTGTGTGTAGGGTGTAGTGTAGTGTTGTGTCTCACGTTGGTCTCGGAGTCGCGGATGAGGAAGTCCCCGTCGTGTCCGTGCTGGTCGAGCAGCGCGTCGCAGTGGCTGCGCGTGATGGCGCCGTAGTACCAGGCGCGGCCCGCGTTACATCAGCTGTGTGTAGGGTGTAGTGTAGTGTTGTGTCTCACGTTGGTCTCGGAGTCGCGGATGAGGAAGTCCCCGTCGTGTCCGTGCTGGTCGAGCAGCGCGTCGCAGTGGCTGCGCGTGATGGCGCCGTAGTACCAGGCGCGGCCCGCGTTACATCAGCTGTGTGTAGGGTGTAGTGTAGTGTTGTGTCTCACGTTGGTCTCGGAGTCGCGGATGAGGAAGTCCCCGTCGTGTCCGTGCTGGTCGAGCAGCGCGTCGCAGTGGCTGCGCGTGATGGCGCCGTAGTACCAGGCGCGGCCCGCGTTACATCAGCTGTGTGTAGGGTGTAGTGTAGTGTTGTGTCTCACGTTGGTCTCGGAGTCGCGGATGAGGAAGTCCCCGTCGTGTCCGTGCTGGTCGAGCAGCGCGTCGCAGTGGCTGCGCGTGATGGCGCCGTAGTACCAGGCGCGGCCCGCGTTACATCAGCTGTGTGTAGGGTGTAGTGTAGTGTTGTGTCTCACGTTGGTCTCGGAGTCGCGGATGAGGAAGTCCCCGTCGTGTCCGTGCTGGTCGAGCAGCGCGTCGCAGTGGCTGCGCGTGATGGCGCCGTAGTACCAGGCGCGGCCCGCGTTACATCAGCTGTGTGTAGGGTGTAGTGTAGTGTTGTGTCTCACGTTGGTCTCGGAGTCGCGGATGAGGAAGTCCCCGTCGTGTCCGTGCTGGTCGAGCAGCGCGTCGCAGTGGCTGCGCGTGATGGCGCCGTAGTACCAGGCGCGGCCCGCGTTACATCAGCTGTGTGTAGGGTGTAGTGTAGTGTTGTGTCTCACGTTGGTCTCGGAGTCGCGGATGAGGAAGTCCCCGTCGTGTCCGTGCTGGTCGAGCAGCGCGTCGCAGTGGCTGCGCGTGATGGCGCCGTAGTACCAGGCGCGGCCCGCGTTACATCAGCTGTGTGTAGGGTGTAGTGTAGTGTTGTGTCTCACGTTGGTCTCGGAGTCGCGGATGAGGAAGTCCCCGTCGTGTCCGTGCTGGTCGAGCAGCGCGTCGCAGTGGCTGCGCGTGATGGCGCCGTAGTACCAGGCGCGGCCCGCGTTACATCAGCTGTGTGTAGGGTGTAGTGTAGTGTTGTGTCTCACGTTGGTCTCGGAGTCGCGGATGAGGAAGTCCCCGTCGTGTCCGTGCTGGTCGAGCAGCGCGTCGCAGTGGCTGCGCGTGATGGCGCCGTAGTACCAGGCGCGGCCCGCGTTACATCAGCTGTGTGTAGGGTGTAGTGTAGTGTTGTGTCTCACGTTGGTCTCGGAGTCGCGGATGAGGAAGTCCCCGTCGTGTCCGTGCTGGTCGAGCAGCGCGTCGCAGTGGCTGCGCGTGATGGCGCCGTAGTACCAGGCGCGGCCCGCGTTACATCAGCTGTGTGTAGGGTGTAGTGTAGTGTTGTGTCTCACGTTGGTCTCGGAGTCGCGGATGAGGAAGTCCCCGTCGTGTCCGTGCTGGTCGAGCAGCGCGTCGCAGTGGCTGCGCGTGATGGCGCCGTAGTACCAGGCGCGGCCCGCCGCCCCGCCCGCGCTCGCGCCGCCGCCGCTCCCCGCCACACCGCGCGCACCCTCGGTGGCCTCACTGCACGCACAGGTATGGAACTAAGTTACACCAATTTTTTTATTTAGATTTTTGGCTTGGATGCTTGTCCTTTAAGCCATTAAATTATGCTAATCATTCGCATGTGTACAGGTCCACAATACTGGTATATTTCATTATTTTTGTACACAATTGTACACAGTTTTGGAATGAAATCGAATAATATTAGGACGTGGTAAAAGTATCTTCGTATTGATATACAAATTCAAAACATTTTTTGTACATTTTGTTCGATGACATCTTATAGTGACATAATCCTATTGTAGAAATCTCGGGATTATCCATAAAAAAAAAATGCGACAAGTAGTTTTGACAGTCCTCTCTTGATGTTAACCTAACACTACCCAAAGAATTCTGAAGAGACCGAAACAGGTGAAAATCTGAGGGCGCAAGGTCAGGACTAAATGGTGGATGTATTAACACTTCTCAACCAAGCTCTCTCAATTTTTGCAGACTGGCCAAAGATGTGTGTGGTCTGGCGTTATCGTGATGAAAGGCCAATCCTTTTCTGTTGATCAATTATGGCCGTTTTTTCTCAATTTCTTGCATGAGTCTCATTAGTTGTTGGCAGTAGAGATCCGAATCGATAATTTTGCCCGGAGGTAAAAGCTCATAATAAACGATGCCCTTCCAATCCCACCATACACACAGCATCATCTTATTGCGTGTTAATCCGGGTTTCGCTACAGTCTGTGGAGCTTGACTACCTTTTGACCATGATCTTTTTGCACATTCTTTTAGTAGGTGTTCCGCTTTTCATCGTCAGTGATCAATCTTTTCAAAAACGGTTCGGTTTCATTATGTCTCAACAGAGAATCGCAAATGAGTACATGATTCATTAGGTTTCTTTCAGTGAGCTGTGTGGTACCCAAATATTGAGGTTTTTTGTATAGCCAGACTTTTTTCAAATGGATCAAAACTATTTTGTATCAATCCTCAATTCCTCGGCTGTGTCGTACTATTAATATGACGATCGTGCTCCACTTTTTAAAAATGGCATAGAATTTATCCTAATAAGGGCGACCAGAGCGAACTGCATCTTTGACATTAAAATTCCCGGACTGAAAACGCTTGAACCAACTTTGTGCTACTCTTACTGACACTGCATTAGGCCTATAAATTCCCTTTTTTGTAAAAAAAAAAACTTCACAATATATCGAATTTCTTCGTTAGAATTTAAAAAATTACGGGAAAGTGTCTTTTACTTTTTATTTTTGTTTTTCTTAATGTCCTATATGTATTAATAAAAAAAAACGAGCCAGACAGACACACACAAACAGTACAACCAAAGAGATTTTTCTTCAATTTTACACAAACAAAATGCGAATAATCTTTTTCTCTGACCTATTATATTGTTCTTAAAATTTCTTTTTAAGTTTTTTCCACCAGGGCGGCGCCACTGACGAACAAGGTGAAATATTTGACAAATTTCATAGCGGATAAATTAATTTAATTGTAATATTAGTTATATTTTATATTAATTAGATTAGAATTGAATAAACCAAACTGATATTCTATAAGTAGGAAAATGTAAAAAGAGTAAAAAATAAACAAAACTTAAGGAACAAATCACCGAGGCATTGTTTTATGTATTTATCTAGATACCCATAATTTTTTTATAATGCAACTTCTCAACTATCAAATAAAAAGTTAATAAATGGCGTAAAATCCATAAAAACTAGTGTCAAAGACAAAAGAAATCCCAATTCCATGGATGTTGTAAGAGACGACTATGGAAAACGCCAAGAAAATCTCAAACCTTTTGATAGATGGTGGTATAACCAAGACGTTTACGTCAGGCGTAAAATATTTTAAACAAGGAACAGTGTCAAAGGTGTTCTACTGATATTACGTTAATTTCTTTAAAGGTAATACTCTACTGTGTTGTGTCACTGTATCGCAATATGATACCTGTACGGCTGCGTGAGGTAGTCGGCGAGCTCCTGCAGGTAGTTCCGCGGCACAAGGCCCAGCTGCCCCCGCGAGTCTCGCGCTCGGAACCACTCGGGGTCACAGGCCGGCCGCTCCACGATCTCCAGCCGGTCGCCCTTCTCGAACGACAGCTCTGCCTCGTTGCTCGACGTGAACGAGTATAGCGCCACCTATATACGGCTCACTTTAATATTGCCATCTCTTTTTTAACAATAATCCCTACTTTTGACGTGAAAACGTCTTTAAATTTTCTTGCATGTGGGAGGCAATTCAGAAATTTTGAACCACTCAATGGTTATCACATAAGTACAATAATAGCCTACTGCCCTCTGACAAGGTAAACTAAAGAAATAATAGTATTTTTTAATTCCTGGTCCATCACTATTAATAATGTGAAAACAAAATATATTTTCTACCAATACGTTATATTTTAATTTGCCCTTTAATTAAAATGCTGATACTACCCAAAGCAAAAAGGTTGTGGTAAGCGGGTGTGGGATTTGATAACTAGCCAAGGTAATCATGGGAGCGTTTACACAATAGAAATCGAAGATAATTGTGGAGGAAAAACTACCAGTCTCAACCAGGCACAACAAAAAAATATATTTTTGTATTGTCATCTATTCATTTTTAATAATTTAAGGACAAAGGAATTTATGCTCATACAGCCTAATCAGCCTATATATTAATATTAATTTTAGAAAAAAGATCATAATAGAATAGACATGAGACCGATATATCAAAACGTATCTAATAACGTTATGTTATCAAATATTATATCATATCGATAAACCTAAGTAGGTACATAACCGTTATCACATATCCAACCACCACCAACGTACGAAACGAAATGTAAAACGCAAAATGAAACGATATGCCAACACAGCCCACGAACTAACCGATGTCCTCCGTTGATATTTGTGTTTCTCTTTCTTGCGACGGTTATCATAAATAAGTATAGAAAGAGATGAAGCGAATATGGATTTCGTTGCCATGTTTTGATAGTTATCACACAACAGTGCATGTAGTGAAATATAATTACCTAAAGCAATAAGGTCGAATTTTAAATCGTTAAAATTGCCTAACTTTTAAGTTTGTGTAGTTGTGAGAGTTGTTAAATTTAAATGATCTTTAGAACATTAGACACAAGACTTTGATTTGTATGACCACCTTATATTTGATTTAGGCAACTTTTTGTTTATGTTTTGGATGGAAAGTTAAGAATTTGAATTTTTTTTTCAAACCGCAACAATTACTCACTTGACCTTGGTGGCGCGTGCCGTTCACTATGATATTATCTATAAAATTAATTATTAATTTTTGACGTAGCGTTTGTGCATTTATTTGCAATATTTGTGTGCATTTTGTACATTAGTTTTAAAACTTTTCTGCTAGTCCTAAGCCTAGTTAAGCATGAAGGAAATTCGCCAACTTAAATAATCATTATTATTGTCTTTTTATTAAAAAACAAAAAATATATTAATAAATAAACTACCTAAAATTATTTTCTATATACATAAATATATATGTATATAGAAAATAATATGTATATATAAATTACGTTTACTTCTTATGAATATTTATTATTATATATTGCACGCCTCACAACGCGAAGTTTTTGAAGTAGGTTAATGCTTTACTCTCGACACGTCAAGGTCAAGCAATTTTATATTCTTATTAAAATGCCTCTCATAACCATATTGCACTTATACGATAATATGAGTAGCCGTATATCAAGAAGACACTAATGAACCCATTCAGTGCCTTGCCCGCCCATGGGCGGCCAGATTTCAAACCTTAATAAGTATGCCAAATAACATGAAAAAATTATAAGATTTTATCTGATAACTAGTTTTATTATGATTGATTCGTTACCAAAACGGCCTGCGGATATCTAAGATTTTAGAAAAGGACAATTCTGACCTGCCATACCGCCCCCGCCCATGGGCGGGTAGTAAGCGTATTCTGAATTAACAAACCTTTTGTTAAAATTTTTATCAAAAACTATAAAATAAAATATATTTACATGTAGTGATAACAAAATATGAACGTTATTGTTTCTTGCACCTTATTATTAAAACTATAAAACCGTCGTGGGGTTCATTGTAGAAGCGTGCTCGTCGCGACCCCTGCCAGCCCTTTTCAGGGCTGCAATTCTACACAGCTGCGCACCCATGCCAACGAGGGTTAGGGCGTCCCCCCAAGGCGATGCACACCAGCTCGTCCCCGTTGGTGTGGAATGCAGCGCGCAAAGCGGCGATGGGGACCGCCACCCGTCACGCACAGCCCGACACGGCGGAAGGTGGAGGACAGAGTGCAGAGTTGGCACGTGGAATGTTAGAGGCGGCATGAGAGATAAGACGAATGAGTTGATCGAAATAATGAAAGAAAGAGAATTAGATGTCGTGTGTATGTCGGAGACCAAACGGAAGGGCAGTGGTACTGAAAAGCTCCCTGACGGGGCGTTAGCTCTATGGTCCGGAGTCCCGGAGAGCGAGAGCGCCTGCCAGGGAGTGGGGGTGATGCTGTCGTCTCGGTTGGTCGATGTTATGACTGAATATAAGGTTGTGAACTCAAGACTTCTCTGGGTTCGCTTTTAATTGAGACTGACGAAGTAATACCTTTTGGCTGTTTATGCGCCGGTAGCTTCGTCGTCCAGGGCTGAGCTGGAGGAGTTTTGGGAGAATGTAAGAGAAGTTCTAGTTTTGGTTAGAGGAAACTAAAGAATTGTTGTATGTGGTGATTTATCACGCAGAGAAACTTAGGAATGAGGATATCCGCAGTAGATCCAGAGTAACCGACATAGCCCAACGGATTAGTAAGCTGAAGTGGCAGTGGACCGGCCATATAGCTCGAAGAACCGACAACCGATGGGGAAGAAAGGTTCTCGAGTGGCAGCCTCGTACCGGTAGGCGAAGTGTAGGGCGTCCCCCCACGAGATGGAGTGACGACCTGGTAAGACATGCAGGAAGTCGATGGATGCAGGTGGCTCAGGACCGTGCTTTGTGGCATTCTTTGGGGGAGGCCTATGTTCAGCAGTGGACTTGTGAAGGGCTGTAATGATGATGATGATGATGATGTGGTGATTTGAATGAATGGGTTGGTACCGCTCGACCAGGGTACGAGTCGGTGCTTGGAAAGTTTGGCGATAAAAGGGTTAATGATGCTGGCAAGCTTATACTAGCTGTATGCAAGGAAAAGGGTCTTCTTGTGACAAACACTATGTTTAATCACAAGAAAATCCATATGTATTCTAGAGAAAGAAAGAATGAGAGAAGTATGATCGATTTGTTCCTGGTGGATGACCGACTGCGAAAACAGGCGATGGATAGATAGGAATGTCTAGAACAGGTAAATGAAATTGTATACTTGGGGAGTGCTTTTAGCCGGGATGGAAGATGTGATTTAGATGTGGACAGGCGTGTCGCTACCGGGAACGCAGTCAATGGTGCCCTGACTGCGTTAGTCAAAAGGCAAGGCGTAGTGAAGAGTGCACGCCTTGCAATACATAACGCAGTGTTGGTACCGACTTTGTTATATGGCAGCGAAACCTGGGTATGCCAGAAGAAGCATAAAAGCAAGTTGAATGCAGTGGAGATGCGATCTCTTCGTAAAATGTGCGGCGTTACCATGGCCGACCGAAAGCGAAACGAAGAGATTCGCAATATGGCAGGTTTGAAAGATGACCTTATCACAAAAATTGATAAGGGCGTGCTTCGATGGTTTGGACACGTTGAGCGAATGAGTGAAGACCGAATGGTGAAGAAAATATATAGCGCGAAAGTTAATATTAAAAGGTGTCGAGGTAGACCGAGACTAACTTTCGAAGACCATGTGAGCAAATTGCTCGAACAGGGGAGGGTAGAATACTCGAATACCTAGACGTGCATGTATGAAGAAGATAATGAATCTGAAAGAAGCGAAAGAGGTATGTAAGGATCGTGACACTTGGCGATCTGTTCTCTCTGGCTATCCCGTCAGAGATTGTGCGTGAAGGTAAGTAAGTAAGTATAAAACCGTAACCATATACAAGTTGTTACAAAAAAGCGGGTAATTCTTTTAGGGAGTGATTTTATTGCTCAAATACAACAACTTATTCTATGGGACTTACATCGAAATCTTAAAGAAAAAAAAAATACTTTTTTTGAGCAATAGAATCACTTCCTGAGAGCATTACACGCTTTTTGTAACACCTTCTAGATAAGGCAATATACTGTCGGTAACTAGGAAGCAAGATAAGAATCCAGATGATAGTCTACATAAAAGGAGCCGATCGGTATTCGTCACTTTGAAAACGGACAAAGTGCCGACACCTTTGTTTTGGAGACCGACCATATACAATTTTTCGGTATGATTTACGATTTAATTTTGGCTAATGACCTGTTTCGGATTGTGGTTTAATACAGATAAGATCATAAACTGTCGGTAAATGGGAAACAAGATAAGAATGCAAATCTGAACAAAAGGTTCTAAATCTGAAAAAAATTCTAAATTCTAAAAGTGAAGGATATGATGGTGTAAATACGAAAGTCATTAAACACTGCAAGGATGAACTATCGCCTGTAATTTCATATCTGATAAATTTATCATTCAAAGTAGGTGTTTTTCCTGAGTCATTAAAACTATCTCTGGTCAAGCCTTTATTTAAGCAAGGCGATAAGAAAAATATGAACAATTATCGTCCAATAACTATTTTGTCAGTTTTCTCCAAAATTTTTGAAAAAGCTATGCACAGTAGGCTTGGTCATTACTTTAATAAACACTTTATAAAAAAAGAACAGTATGGTTTTCAGCAAAACAAATCAACCATGATGGCATGTTTTGATTTACTAAAAAGAATCACCGATGCAATAGATGATAAGGTAAATGTAACAAGTGTATTTTTCGATATGTCAAAAGCATTTAACTTTGTTTGCCATAACACCTTATTACGTAAGCTAGAAAAGTATGGGATAAGAGGACTGACATTGCAGTGGATAAAATCATACTTATCATTAAGAAAATAGTGTGTGGAAGTTATAAGCCCTAACAAAAATAATATTTTGACAAAATTTAGATCGCGAGTGGTTCTTAAGTACACTAGAGTTCCTCAGGGAAGCGTTCTTGGGCCTTTTTTGTTTGTAATTTATGTAAATGATTTACCGGATTCAACTCCATTCCCATGCATTTT